CAGCCTCTCGAGTAGCTGGGACTACAGGCATGCGCCACCATGCCCGGCTAATTTTTTCTATATATTTTTAGTTGTCCGGTTAATTTCTTTGTATTTTTAGTAGAGACGGGGTCTCGCTCTTGCTCAGGCTGGTTTCGAACTCCTGAGCTCAAACGATCCGCCCACCTTGGCCTCCCGGAGTGCTAGGATTACAGGCGTGAGCCACCACACCCGTCCTGACACTACACCTTTTAATGTGGAAATAATTTAATATTTTCCATCTTTCAGTTTTTGGATTTGGTGAAATTTTGTTTCAAATTCTACGTGTTTTGTTCTTAATATTCTTACCCAAGATTGGAAAACAAGTTCTTCTCTTTGCAATTAGTGATTCTATGGCAGAGGTTGAGTTAATGAGTCCAGGCTCAATAATATTATGTGTGCCTCTCTGTGCTCAGAAATGAAACAAGTGAAATGTAAAGGAATCCTATCTGGACTCTCGTTTTTTTTTTTTTGTTTTTAAGAGATAGGATCTTGGCCAGGCATGGTGGCTCACGCCTATAATCCTAGCACTCTGGGAGGCCGAGGTGGGAGGATTGCTTGAGCTCAGGAGTTCGAGACCAGCCTGAGCAAGAGCGAGACTCTGTCTCTACTAAAAATAGAAAGAAATTAGCCAAACAACTGAAAATAGAAAAAAATTAGCTAGGCATGGTGGCACGCACCTGTAGTCCCAGCTACCCAGGAGACTGAGGCAGGAAGGTCGCTTGAGCCCAGGAGTTTGAGGTTACTGCGAGCTAGGCTGATGCCACGACACTCTAGCCCAGGCAAGAGAGTGAGACTCTGTCTCAAAAAAAAAAAAAAAGAGAGAGGAAAGATAGGATCTTGCTACGCTGCCCATGCTGGAGTGAGTGCAGTGGTTATTCATAGGTGGGATCACAGTACACTACAACTTTGAACTCCGGCACTCAAGCAATCCTCATGTGTCAGCCTCCTGAGTAGCTGGGACTACAGGCACACACCACCACACCTGGCTACTCTTTAAATTTTTTGTAGAGACGGGGCCTTGCTATGTTGTTGCTGGTCTTGAACTCCTAGGCTCAAGTGAACCTCCCGTCTTGGCCTCCCAACATACTAGGATTACAGGTGTGAGCCACCATGCCCAGCCTTCTCTTGCTTTTTAAGGAAAGTTTAGTTTTTTATTTAAAACAGCAAAGTTGTGTTGTCATTTCCAAAAATTGTGAAGAACAAATACAAGTGGAAATAAGGGGGATTGATACAGTATTTGGATTTTATAAGCAAGGAGCATAAAATTAACAATATTTTAATCTAAAAATATGGGAGGAAAAATTCATTCATGTTTGATTCACTCTTCTTTCATAAACTAACTTTGTTATCTAAATTGTATCTGGCACTAAAGAACAACATCAATATGAAGAAGGGTAAAAATGAATTTTTTGGAGGTTATGCCTGTAATGTAACTGAAAACTTGCTTCTCTGTAGATGAGAGTTTTGCTGTTAAACACAACAAAGAATTTCTCTTGTCAATGGCCAACAGAGGGAAAGATACAAATGGTTCACAGTTCTTCATGTAAGTATTTATAATCTGATGACTTAAAACATCTCAGTTTTGGTCTACCATTCTCCATTTGCCTGCCATTGATGACTAATAAATAGAGAGGAATTCATGAAGGAGAGGGAATCGCTGGAGGGGGAACAAAGAATTTTTGAAGAGGGGAAAACTGCTGAGGGAAGTTCAACTGCACTGCTGAAGTTTTCAAATGATGGAAACTTGTCTAGAGGACACAGGAGCCAGCTTAAAGGAGTTTCCACTAGCCAAATTAGGACATTTTGAACATCAAAATCAATAATGATAATATTGGTTTATAATCAAATAGAAGCCAGGAGTCCACACTGATATAAATAAATGAATAAATAACCAGGGAGAAGGGAAAGCTATTCCTTTAGTAGAATGTCAACTAGTGAATATAAAAGGAATGATGGAGTTAGAAAAGTCATGGTTTTGTGATCATTACGGTAATAATTGATTCAGGCAAGAGTCTTTCTTCTGTGATTGCTAAATTTAGAGGGGCAATTGTAATGAGAACAGGATGTTTACATAGAGCATTTCTCCACATATTACTTAATTACAAAGAGTAAAATACAATCAGTCCTCACTATTCCCTGATTCTGTATTTGTGATTTCATGTACTTGCTTAAATTTATTCATAACCACAAAATCAATCTGTTAGGGGTTTCCAATTCTGACTACAAAAAAATCGTGACCAGGTCTCCTATTAGCAATATATATTTTTTAAATCCTATCCCTATGGATACAGATTTGCTCCTCTTCAACAGCCTTCAGCTCTCCTGGTTTCTGAGGAATCTGTCAGCACCCCATGGTTTATTCTGGTGTTTCCCTATTTCATATTTATTACTCCTTTCTTGCACAGTGAGAAATCTGGCTCCTGTAGTCTTCAACATTTCTATTCATTTGCTGAATCTTAGAATAAACAATTGCCATCCTACGCTCCTGTGAAAAAGAACCTGCTGACTAGAGTTCACTATTCATAGTTATTTATGTTTTTAGACTGAGTGTATGTAGTTAAAACACCATGTTTAAAAGTAACTTAGATTAGTACTTTTTTGTGTGATTTTTTGCGTGGTTTTGTGATTCACTGAAATACGTTAGATTCATTTGTTTGTGATTGTATTTCATTTCTCCCTCCCACCATTTTTGATTTGTTCTGTTTTTGCTTTGTTGTTTGTTCTTTAAGTTTATGCAATACTAACATGATTCCAAAAGTCAAAACACAAAGAATACTCTGAAGTGTTACTTCCACCCAACCCTTCCACTCCATTCCCATTTCCCCATTTTTTTCACCCCAGTCCAACCTATCCATGTTAGTAATCAACCTCATTAGTATCTGGATTATTTTCCCATATTTCTTTTTGCAAACATAAGCAGATGCATATGTATTTTCTTACACAATAGATGGCATACTATATATACTGATTTGCTCTTGTCACTTAACAGTATATCCTTGAAATCACTGTGTATCAGTTTACAGAGATCATTTTCATTCTTTTTTGCAGTTGCATAGTACTCCATTGTTTGCATTTACTGTAGTTTATTCAACTAATTGCTCATATATGGGTCTTTCTGATTTTTAAAAGTGAAACAACTTACATTATTACCTTTGCTGTAGAAAAATTGGAAAACACAGGAAAATAAAAAAATCTACTCCCAGAGCATCTTTCTATGCAGTAAAAATGTTGGTAGACTGTTGTGTATGCTCTATAATCAACTTTTAAATGTAATGTAAATCCCTTTGCACATCACTAAGTATTCACATTTTAATGGCTACACATTGATCTCTTATTTGAATATACTATGCTTTATTAGTCTAATTTTTGGACATTTGGTGTGCTTCCTATTTTCCAAACAGCTTTGATGAATATTGTGCCTATTGTTCGGTGCATTTTAAAAAATTTCTTTAGTGTAAGTTGCTAGAGGTTTATTAGTGAAATATTTACATGTTTTAAGTCTGTGCATATATATTGCTACATTGACTTTCCAAAGGAAGTATAGTGTAGCACCAATCATATGTAAGGGCTAATTTTACCAAATTTTCAACAACACAGAGTAGTATCATTTATTTTCCTCTTTTAAATAAAACCCTCCCTGTGCTAAACAAAACCCCCATGTTAAGTTCATGTAATCCTTCATGTATATTGTCAGAATCTTCTAAGTGTTGATTTCTTCTTATTTCTTTCCATTTTTTACATAACCCTTCTTTACTTGTTCTGTGCTCTATTTTGAAAGGAAATAACTTCAGGTTTTAGAGAGCTTCAGTCTTTTCTTAATAGTTTTTACTGTAAGATTTACTGTTTTCATAAGTGCTTGGTTCAGTCATGTTTATTTTCACAATATTGTGCAACCATCACTACTGTCTATTTCCAGAACTGTTTCATCCTCCCAGAAACTCTGTAACCATTTCCCCTTCTCCCCAGCCCCTGGTACCCTCCGATTTAGTTTCTGTCTCTATTAATTTGCCTGTTCAGGATATTTTATTTAAGTAGAATCACACAACATTTGTCGTTTTTTGTCTGGCTCGTTTCACTTAGCATGTTACCAAGGTTTATTCATATTGAAGCATGTATCAGAACTCATTCCTTTTTATGGCCGAATTGTACTCCACTGTATGTATAGACCACATTTTGTTTGTCCATTCATCTGTTAATGGACATTTGTCTTGTTTCTACCTTTTGGATATTGCAAATAATGCTACAGTGAACATTAGCATTTGAGTCTATGTTTTCAGTTTTGGAGAGTATATACCTAGGAGTAGAATTGCTGGGTCACGTCATACAGTAATTCTGTGTTTAGCTTTTTGAGGAATGGCCAAACTTTCCTACAGTAGTTGCACCATTTTACAACTACATTCCTACCAGCAATGTACAAGAGTTGTAATTTTTTCATGTCCTTACCAACAAACTTGTTTACTTCTCTGTGCACATCTGCAAATGGCCATGAAAGCACCACAAGTGTTAGTTTTGGGGTTATAAATAAGCCTTAATGAGCAGAACTTGCAAATACAGAATCAGTGAAATGAAGATCGACTGTATCTTGATTCTTATTATATGTATGCACCGTGTATGTAACCTGGAATATAAAGATATATATTACTATATAAATACATACATATATAGTATACCAATGTTTTCACATTCCTAGGTGATTTTAGCAAGTTTAAGTAAGCATAGTGTTGTAGTGAGGAAACAATAGTAGGTCTTTAAAGTTAGGTAAACCTAAAAATACACCTGTGTGTTATAATTTTTTTCAGTAGTATTGTGCTTGCTTTAAGCAAAGGTTAGCTTAAATTATGTTCTTCCTTCCAAATTTCTACTACCTTTTTTGTTAAAATTTTTAAAAGTATTCTTAAAAAATGCCCATCTTTAATCTATTATGCCAGTATGTCTGGTACACATTGAAGTAACTTAACTACATAGGTTTAAGGTAGATCTGGCAGGGGGGATTTTAAAAAATTATTTTATTTGCCAAAAAAACGCTAATT